GAGACGCCAGCCTGCAGAAGGTTGGTTCGAGTGCCTTCGGTCACAGACCGGACTTGCCTTTCGGCAATCGCATTTGACTGATGCAAGTAGGCCTTAGACTTCTCATGACGCCACTTCATGGTTTTAGCAGCAGTCTTGAGTTCTGGAGCGCGATCACTGTAGAAATTCTTCACTTCGCCCTTTGGAGACGTGAAGTGCTGAAGTGCAACAGTGCATTCTTCAGCTGACTTGAGAGCTGAGGGGTAGGCATAGCAAAAGCCTGTTGCAACGTCCTTAATCACCAGCGCCAGCCGGGAGTCCTCTATGATGGTGTCCTTGTCCCGATAGAGCACGATGTGGTCTGCTGTAACGTGGTCACCAAAGTCTTTGGCTTCAATAGTACGCACCCCTCCCGTCGCATATGAAGGAGGTTTGTACATCTTAGCCCTTTGACAAATATCACAGAACGGATTCTTCGGCTGATGCGACATCATATGATGCAGCGACTTAGCTTCAGCTTTCAGGACTTCTATACCCCGTTTTCTCTTCTTCCCATCGCCCTCGGAATCCCCATCTGGGGCGACAGCGGCTCCGTCAGAAGCGCGAGCTGCACCCGGATCATCCTTAGGCATGTCTTCCAGATCAGAACCTTCCTCCTCGAGGATACGATTGAGGTAATCCATATCGTCTTCGTCATCATGACCACTTCCTTTCGAAGTAGGCGGAGGATCAGGTTCTTTGGGTGGTTCAACTTTCTTTTCTTTTTCAGGCTTACCCTTAGTCTTGACCTTGGGCTTCGCACGTAGTTCAACCCCTTTCTCAACTGGAGGTGTTCCGGCAACAAGGTCATACAAAGACGTTTCCTCATCACCGGGTTCGATCAAAGACGGAGCTGAGACCTTAGATGGCACGTTGAAACCATACTCTTTAAGTCTCGCAAGCTGTGTAGCATCAAGCTTGTGCACAGCACGATTCACGTATGATGTGATGCTCCATCTGTCACCCTTCCAGGGACGGACGCAGTGGTACGTCTTGGGATCAAACGTAAGCATACGATGCTTGGACTTGTGAACTTTGCCTTTCAGCTTACTGCCGTCAGGCGTGCGAACAGAAGCATAATCTTTGTTCTCCCTGCTGATTTCTTCATCATGAATCCAAAGTTCGCCTCCCTCGAAGTCACCCAAACACATAGTGTTGTTCTTATGTTCACGATGATTGTGAGCATCTTTGTGCACCTTGACGCTGGACCCATGATTAATGCACAGTGAAGAGCTGGGGCCCTTGGCACCATGATGTTTCAGATACTCATTGAGGAACTTCATTAGCTCCTTATTTTGGTGACTGCGGTTAGTGATGCCTTGCATCCCGCCGTGCGAGAAGGCTCCGAGCACAACATACTCGGACTTCTTAGAGGACTTTGGGTCCTTGGCGATGATAGACCTCTGCTTCTTAGAGGCCTTGAAAGCTACCTTGTTTAACAAGGAGTAACATGATGCATGTGAGAAGTCGCCAGACTCTCGAAGCTTCTTTGCGATAGCCTCGGATGATTCTTCCGGCGCTGGCCTTCCGGCCGCGGAGGGGCTTTCAATGATCTGCGTCTTACCAGGACCGGACGAGGCCCGACGCGCAGGGACGCTGATGTTTTCATGCCAGGACTTCAAGTACGGCACGTTATCTTTAACGTCCATATAGACCTTCTTCCCTTCGGGAGTCTTAAGGTACGGTCGTGAATTAGCCCTCCAGATGAAATCGAATCCCTCTTCCATGCATCGCTGTCCTATTGAAAGGACAGATGGGGTATCAGGAAGAACATATGGTTTGACCTCAATCCCAATGGAGTCAACAGAAACATCACACTGTTCTGAAGCGGAGTTTGGCCCATTTGCAGTCATCATTTGGATGGGCGCAGGTGACTCGTAGGCCTTCGCCTGCCCAAGCTCCCGCTGGGCGATGAGATCTTGCGCACTGCCAGTGTCAGCAATCCATTCAATGCACAGACACGGCGATTTGCTGCTGGCGGGTGCGGCACAGTTGAACTTCAAACCAATCGGAATGCAATGCTTGCATCCAAACTCAGTGTTGCACTTGAACTTACACTGCGGTCTACAGCCCTTGACCTCATCACTGACAACAGCTTGCAACATCTTAGCGGTTACCTGAGCTTCCTTCACGGAATCAGGATCGGCTTTCCAATGGCTGTTGGCGGGATATACTTGGCTATACTCCCTTGGCTTATTGCGATCATCGAGGGGGTAGAGGCCATTCCCTTTCGGAATTTGGTACGTGAAACTTTCAGTAGTGTCATTGAATGACACTGCGGCCAGTGCGACATGATAGTGCGGGGTGCAAACATCGACATTGCTCAACATATCCTTCCGGAACGTGAATGCATCGGCTTGGGCTGCTGAGCCAGCCAACATTGCTCCCAATAAGCAAACTGCGGCGGGAACGGAGGGCGCACCACCCTTGCGACCTGAGCCACGCGAACCCTTCGAGCCTTGGCTAGACTTACTTGATTTTCGGCTGCCGCTCTTTGAAGAGCTCTTGGAGCTAGATCTGGAGCCTTTGCGGCCCTTACCACTTTTCTTCTCTTTCTTCTTGTGCTTCTTTTCCTTCTTCTCGCCGCTGCTCGCTCGTGCACCTGAGCTGCCCGGGGCGGCTGCAGCAGGTTGGCCGTTGTGGAGGAAGTTACACTTGTCTCCACGATTGCAAACTCCTTGCTTAAAGAATTTGCATTCCTGCTTTTTGCCTTTACCTTTCCCTCCCGGGCTAGGGGTCCTAGTAGGCGTACGACCTCCGGCAGGAGTGTGAGAACGCCCCCTAGGTTGTTGGTGCTTGTACGGGCAATTGTCTCTCTTGCAACTTCCGGTCTTGACCCAATCAACGCAATACCCTTTGGGAATACGCCTGGGGGCCGGTGCGGCAGCAGGCGCAGTAGGTACACCTGTTTGCCGAGCAATGCGCTCGCGGTTCTTCTGCAATCGCTTGCGTTTCAGATGATTAGCAACCGCGTTATACAGGAACTGATAGGACCTTTGCTCGCTACCTTCCAGTGCGCGTTCATAGACCTGGATGTCGTGATCGATATCCTTGCACTTCTTCACCTGTCTATGGAACAGGGGTTCAAGCACGCTGTTGTCTGGAGGATTGGGAATCCCTGATAGCACCGTATCCCAGTTTCTAACGAAGGTGGTGAGGTTTTCGTTGACCATGATGCAATTCATCAGGTCCTCCATGTCATACACAGAGCCATGGAGTGCATTGGTAGCAAAGTGGTTGTGAAGACGACACAGCAACTGTCTTCCTCTCACCAGCCTTCCGGCGTGAGCTTCGGTCTCCTTGAAGGTATCAGTCTGCCTAGCGAAATCACCCTCAAGGATATTGGTGAGCCCAGAAAGGATCTTGGCATCCAAGGTGCTAAACCCCTCCGGGTCGCGAAGCTCTTTCTCGTCGGCGTCCTTTTCCCAGACCTTACTGAGCCAGGCGTGCGCCTTGTCAGGCGAATCCGATGCAGCGACAATGGCTTCACGGACCCTTATACGCCAGTTTCTATACTGCTCAGGCTGGGGAAACTTGGGAAACACGACTTTCTCAGCCTCTTTAACCTTGGGTTTGGTACTCGAGGAACCCTTTTCTTCATCATCATCCTCTTTATCAGACTTCTTAGATTTCACCATCTTCTTGAGCATCTTCAGAAGGATCTTGTTGTCGATGGAAGAAGACGATGAATCTGACGAATCATCTTTCTTGTGCTTTTTGGATTTCTTGCTCTTTTTCTCCTTCTTACCGCTCTTTTCAGGCGCTTCAAGTGGTTCGCCAGGAGGAGTATGGATCGGAAAGGGTCCTAGGCCAGGAGGCCCGGCCTGTTCCGGTTCATTGCCCAATGGGTCAGCTTTGGCTCCCGCCAAGCGTGTTCTTAGCTCGGCATTGTCCTTTTGCAGCATCTCCATGTTGAGGGCTTGAATCCTCATCATCTCTTGCATCTCACCTTTGAGGCGAGAGAGCTCGTTGTCACGAGCTGACACGTCGGCTTGATTAGCCTGCAACCTTCGATTAGCCTCGGTTTCCACCTGGGCGACAACATTCGCAGCTGTCTGTTCAGCGGATAGGAGGCGCTGCCTTAGCTGTTCAGCTTCAGCAGCGGCTGTTTCAGCCTCAATTTGGTACTGGGCTACGGCCTGCCGACCAGCATGGATGTTTTGATTAGCCTGTTCTTCAAAGGCTCTGGCTTTTGACTGCAACTGTGCATGCTCAAGCCTCAGCTGAGCGACTTGACTCATGGCACCTGTTTCCAAAGCGAGAATTTGCTCCCTGTTTTCGCTTTGGATGTTGCGAACGGCTTCAGCATGTCTTGCATTTGCTGTATCCATAATCAGTGCAGGATCCGCACTGATCAGAACGTTTTGCTGATGCTGATACAACTGATTCACGACAGTTGGAACGGAGGTGTGCGATGGAGGCACCGGAGAATAGCCTACGACTGTGGGTGAGGGCTGATGTGTCAGCGACGCTCGTGATGGCACGTATGCTGGTTGAGGTCCAAGGGACCCAACATGCGAACGTAGCGTCTGCTCAGTGAGAGCTACCCGACCCTCCCGGGCGGTGACAACCGGAAGCTCTGCGCCCAGATTCGATCTCGAGCGGGCGGACTCCGTGTCGTCATCACCTAGTTCGGAGATAGGCACACCTGCAGGATTTGTGGGAGCTGTGGTGTCCATTGCACTACGAAGAGCTATACAAGCTACGGCTGATAACCTATTGTTAACAGCAGGACGCACGAATCCTTTTTCATACTTGAGCCATACGGTAGCGTAGGTAAGACACTAGGACAAACGTACAAAGAGATTAAAAACAGGTTTGAAGGCTTTAGGGTTAATTCGGGTTTGTGCTTTCTCAGTCATTTGAATATCCACTGAAAGTAAAGCGGATCAGGAACTGTGTATGTGCAGTCTCTTCGTGCCCGGGTTGAACATCTCAGTCAACTCCCAAATTCCTGCAAAACCCTTCACCGCCGGAGGAGCCTTGCCAAAGGGCGACAAAGGCTCCTGCTGCCTCGTGGCCTGGCGCAGACGGTTAAGGTTCAGGTTTAGGGTTCAAGGTTTAGGGGTAAAGCCAGTGACTGGAAAAACTGAACGGCTTCGGTGGTTTAAGACTTTAGAGCTTAGGGTTTAGGGTGGCTTTCCAAATTGGGGCGTCCCCTTGAAAGGTTCTGCAAACGAGTACAAGTACTGTACGTCATGTCTCAGAGAAGGGACATGTAAGGAGCAACACCATGTCAATATTTGTTGCAGAAGGCTTCGGGACCTCCGCCGCCTACGGAGATTCGCAATGCATAGTGCTAGGTTTGCGTGACCACAAACCTGGCCAAAACACAGGTCCCAAACTCAGATACCATCGCCACAATTCTGCCACAAGCTGCGTCACACAACTCACGACTGGACTGGGTCCACTACACCCTCCATCGAGCAACACCGAACCCTCGCCTCTGCAGGATCATGTAAGGCTCTCAGTACCTTAAGTAGAGTATATATGTTAAGTGTACTGAAAGCTACCTTATGTCTAATCCGAGTTACTAAGTCCCATGATCCTCCTAGGTACGACCCCTAAACTTCTAAACCCCAAGCCCCCTGATCCTCCTAGGTACGACCGTGTCCACACCCGCGGGGATCCTGCGCGAACTCTCTCTGCAGGGCGGCCAGGAGCTCCAGAAAAGATGATTTCTGCTCCGGGTCTTGCAGGTGAACCTGAGATCCATCTGGTGAAGGGGGGGGTACCTTTAAAGGGATCCATAAGGGTTCATTTACAGGGATCTATAAGGGCTTCTTTCGAGGGATCTATAAGGGTGCTTTTTTTTGGGTGGCTGTCAAAATTATGGTCCCTTTTTGAGCTCCAAGTTGCAAAATACGGCAGCTAGTATTTAAGGTACCCGAAAAGGGGGGCCATAACTTCGAGAACTACCCATCTGCAGGAAAGGGGTGTCGGGCGGTTTCGTGGTGTACTCTAGTGAAATTTTAGGGCTTGGGGCCTGTAGGGTTTAGGGCTTTTCGCGACTAGGGTCTTAGCATATTGCGCTGCCAAGCTTCGTGGAATCGATGCTGCTGAGCTCTTGAAAGCCCACCGACTGAGCCTGATTCCTGAATTAAGGAGACCCAATATAAACCCCCTACCTGGACCCCGAAAGTATGTAGAATAATAGCCTTTTACAGGTATTGGTCAATTACTTTATCTACTTTGGGGGGGGGTTTAAGTAAACCCCAAACATGCCCAAACCCTTCTGAAACTTCTTCTTCCTGCCGCTGCCTGGTTTGTCTCAAAGTGCAGCTCCAATAAGTAGGGGCCCCTCTTTAAGTAAGCTAAACCCTTTTCCCAAGTCACACCCTCAAGCCCTGAACCCATAAAGGGAACTCCAGAAAGTTGGAATATGGAATAATTGCAGGATCCCCTATAGTTTACCATAAAGGGGTTAGGATAATCATATTCCAACTTTCTGGCTTCTACTGTAACCCCTAAGAACCCCCGATCTCCTAAACCCTAAGTACTTGGAGGATCACAGGACTTAGGGTTCCTTAAAGGGCTCTTTAAAGGGAGCTATAGTGTTCTTTTAAAGGGATCTATAAGGTTTAGGGTTTAGGGTACTACTTGGAGGATCATGCGCCTTAGTAAGGTTATGAGTACCCTAATTGGGGTTATAAGTATAGTTACGATATTTATATCCCTAGTTACTAAGTCCCATGATCCTCCAAGTAAGATCCGTTGAGGGATCCCGTAATTAAAGATATCCTACCGCCCCCCCCTCGCCCCCCCTCAAACCCCTCACCCCCTAAACGGTGCTTTCCCACGGTCCCTGCTCCAATAGGGCCCCCAAAAGAGCACATATGCAAAAATAAGGATAAAGATATCCCATAAAACCCAAGTAGAATGAAGCCCAAAAAGGTAGGGTATTCCTATAAAGTGCGTGTGCTTATGTCCTTTTGGGGCCCCTTTTGGAACCCTAAAACCCTAAAACCCTAAACCCTAAAACCCTACAACCCTAAACCCTAAATCCTAAAACCCTAAAGCCCTACAACCCCAAACCCCAACACCCTAAATCCACAACCCTAAAACCCTAAAACCCTAAGTCCCTAAACCCTAAGACCCTAAAACCCTGAACCCCCAAAGCCCCAACTGGGTTGGCCTTTAAACACCCTGAAACATATTTACAAAAAGGGCCCCTTATAAACCCAAATAAGGAAAATAACAAAAATGGCCCAAACTCCAACCTAGCCAAACCCTAAAACCCCAAACCATAAAACCCTAAATTCCTAAAACCCAAAATCCCTAAAACCCCGAATCCCTAAGACCCTAAGTCCCTAATTCCTAAACCCCAAACCCTACATCCTAAGCCCCAAAACCCGAAATCCCCAACCCTGAAACCCTAAGACCCTAAAACCCCAAACCCTAGGCCCCCTTGGAGCGAGGGGCTCCGAGAGCCTCCGGGTTCACGGGCAGGAAGGGATCCTCGAGGTCCGGCATCACCTGGGAAGGCTCGGGGGATATTAGGGACTTAGGGATCTATAGAGGGGCGCTTTAAGAAAGAGATCACCTGGGAAGGCTTGGGGGCTTGAGGGGTTTTAGAGGTGTTTAAAGGGCTCCCTTAAAGGGTTTAGGGGCTGAGGGGTCCTTTAAAGGATCTATAAGGGTACTCTGTAGGGATTGAAGGGTCTGCGGGCTGAGGGGTTGAGGGTTTTGAAGGAGCCCTTAAGGCTACTATCTAGAGGGGTGCTTTAAGAAGGAGATGTATACGGGTACTATGTCGGGATTTAGGGGTCTAGTGGTTGAAGGCTTTGGGGTTCCTTGAAAGGGCTTTGAGGGTTCCTTTAAAGGGCTTAGGGGTTGAGAGGCCTGGGGGTTGAGGGGTTTAGGTCATCACCTTGGAAGGTTTGGGTTTAGGATTTAAGCAGGGTATCACCTGGGAAGCTTTGTGCAAGGGATTTGGGGGCTTGATGGGTCTGAAGTTCGGGGTGTAGGGTCAGTTTAGGGTTAAAAGATCTGGCTGTCTAGGGTTTCCGAGACTGGAGGGAGCAGCGCATGGCGTTCTGCAGTTCGGGCTGGTTCTCTGAACGAGAGTGCAGTACTCCTCGAAGTGCTGCCTGGTTGCCACAGCACGGAAGCGCCCCACAGGAGTGAGCTCGTAAAATGTGACCTTAGGCCATGAGCATTTTGCTGCCTCTGCAAAGCTCTAGAAACTCAGGCCAATCTGTATCTCGCCATGCGACCTCAATCATCTCTGTACTCTATCCGTCACTCTGGCTTGACTGCCTTGTGTTTAGGCAGGAGGCAACTTCGTCGAAAGTCACGATACAGACCTGGATGGGCTTGAAGAACGAGGGTGCAGAGAGGGATCGGGGGTTCAACTTGCACCGCTTTGGCCAGAGATTGTATTGTAAGCCTGAAGAAGGAGCAAATAATTGGCAGTATCCGGGATGCAATGTTTCGGTCGACTGTGACCCACAACTTCATGCGACTGCATTACCGTGCCTCCAGGTCCCAAGCCCTAAGGGTCCATGTACCCAAATAGTATATTGGTAGTCAAAATGTTGGTCCCTTTTTGGGTCCCTACTATAGTATGGCACCGAATATTTCGGGTACCCAAAAAGGGACCATAATCTTGACAACTACCCATATACTTTGGGCCCAATGTACTTATATCGGGACTACTTTAAGGCCAATGTACTAGGGGAAGTGCATCGAACAACTCCATGCCTGCAGCCTCGCCAGCCCCTTGCTAAGGCGAGTTGCAGGACGCTCCAAGGGATGCGGCGCCTGCGTCCGTTTCTCCGGAGCTCAGCTTTGGTCTTGGCTGTAACTTAGAGACATGGTGGCAGCATACCTAGAGCCTCCAAAACCCCTTAATTAAGGAATATATCTTAAATCATATAAGGGGTCCTGCTATAATTTAGGGTATATTCCTTAATCAAGGGGTTTGGGAGGCTCTGGGTATCACGGCCCCTCGGAGGTGCGATCTCAGAGCGAATTCAGTGTGCTTACTTGACGGAAGCCTGCAGTACTTCTATCGCTTGGTATATGTTCTGAAGCCTAAATCCTGAATCATGCGAGTACCATAAACCGCAAACCCTAAAGTCCATGAGTACTAGATACCCTTCAAACTCTTCAATACCAGCTACTAACTCCCCTTTCTCTGAACTCGCTGAAAGCTAACAACGAAATTTCACCAGTCACCTTGCTACAGTTCTAGTAACTAGTACAGGCATCCATAAAGTCTTACCCCACCTCGCCCTATGTAATCAAAACCCAAACCCCTTAAAACCCAAAACCCTAAACCAAAAACCTGAACCCTAAGTCCCAAAGTCCCAAAGACCCTAAAACCTGGAGACCTACATACATAGACCCTCCATCTACCCTCCATTACACCCTAAATGCCCCTTATTTATGACTATTATATACCTCTGTTTCAGGGTAGCAGGAGGGTCCTGGTACATAAGGCCCTCAACCATCCTCAAGGCTAAAACCCCTAAAACCCTAAACCCTAAACCCTTTCGCACCTCCACTGCCCGCTGCAAGGATTCCAAGGCCGCGGCGGCGAAGCCGTGGCGGACGGCCCAGGGCCTCGGACCACTGGACCCATCTTAGCATCATTACCCATAGGCCCCAAAGTAGTCCCTGGGCTCCTTAAAGGGAGCTATAGTGTTCTTTTAAAGGGATCTATAGAGTTTAGGGTTTAGGGTACTACTTGGAGGTTCATGGGCCTTGGAGCACTGGACCCGTCTTGGCATCATTGCTTGGAAGGGCACGGGACTTAGTTTAAAGGGATCCTACAAGGGTTCCTTAAAGGGATCTATAAGGGTTTAGGGTTTAGGGATTTAGGGGTTTAGGGACTTAGTAAGTAGGTTATAAGTAGGGTAATAATTGGGGTAACTCTATTTAGGGTACTTATAACTCTACTTATAACCTACTTACTAAGTCCACTGCCCTTCCAAGTACCCATAGGCCCCAAAGTAGTCCCTTTTTGGGATTACCTTATAGGATTCTAAATATGAATCCCAAAAACGAACTACTATGGTGTTAGCATTTTTTGTCTGAACGCGTCAACTATACCAGGACCCTCCTTGTACCCTCGAATAGGGGTATATGGTCCCAAATAAGGGGCATATATGTGCCAGCATCCGCGCACCCCCCCCCCCCTCCCCCCCCCATGGTAATCCCCCTCCCCCCCCCTGTGGTTCCTGTGGTTCCCCCCCCCCCTGTGGTTCCTCTTGGTTTTCCCCCTCCCTTTTGTGGTTCTTCTGGTTCCTGTCTCCCCCCTCCCCCCCTGTGGTTCCTGTGGTTCCTCCGCGTGGTTGCTGCTGCTTTGTTGTTGCTGCTGTTCTTCTTCTTGTTCTTGTTCTTGTTCTTGTTGTGTGGTCGCCCGGGTCGGGGGGGGGGGGATACCATTGGGGGGGGGGGGGGGGGGGGTCGAGAACGCGGAGCGCGGGCACATATAGGGTCCAATGGAGGGTAGATGGAGGGTCCAGGTACTCTTCGTGTTAGTGTTTCTACTGCCATAAATGTGCTTGTTATAGTAATCGGATTACTATCGGTACCTAAAGTAAGATGGGCACGAACTTCACAATGCATGCTTCATGAAACGGAACTAGGCGTCGACTGGCCTCTAACCCGAAACGGTAGAACGGGCTTCGGGACGTAAGCGATCGTAAGCGGGGGGGATCCAAGGCCGGATGTTGAGAGCCCAGAAGCCCACGTCTTTGCATTCGAGTGGCGTTGTCTCCACGGCGAAGCACACGAATGGACACAGAGGCCTTCAGGCTTTGATCACAGCGCCAAATGTCCCACCACTGGCTTCTGAAAGCTACATGGAACAACATGAACACCCCTAGACCCTCCATCTACCCTCTGTTAGACCCTAAATGCCACGTATTTGGGACCATATACCCCTATTTGAGGGTACAAGGAGGGTCCTGGCCTCCTCTGGAAACCCATAACACCCTGAGTTACCCAAACCCTAAACCCAGTACCCAGGCCAACTTGCTAGAGGCTAACGCATACCATAGGGGCCTGAATAATCAAAAAATGGGGTCTTGGGGCCCATTATACTATACTTGTAATAAGGAACCCCAGGAAAAGATTGGTAATTATTTAGCCTCCTCTATCATAATACCCTTACAGATCCCTTAAAGTAACCCTTATAGACCTCTTTAAAGGAACCCTAAGAACCCTATATGTAATTATTTAGGGCCCTATATTATTCGTCTCCTGCTTCGGACTTATGATGCCGCGGCATCGTTTTCGCTGCAACTGCGAGCCGGCCTCAGGCTTTCTCCGAATTCAACTATCGGGTTTAGGGTTTAGGGTTATAAATATAGTATCATGGGCACTAAACCCCTATTTCAATTATTAAGGCCCCTATGGTATGCGTTAGGCTCCACCAAGTTGGCCCGGGTATTGGGTTTAGGGTTTAGGGTGTTGTGGGTTTGCCAGGACCCTCCATGTACCGTCAAATAGGGGTATGTGGTGCCAAATAAGGGGCATTTAGGGTCTAATAGAGGGCAGATGGAGGGTCTAGGTGATCTGTGAGTCTAGAACTCATCCACCCAGCGACTCATGAACCCTCCTCTTCCTCAGTCTTTCATCCATCTCAAGCCGGTCATACTTTCAAAACCTGGCTTTTCTAGAAGCCCTAAGCCCTACTTGGAGGGTCGGGGAGTTAGTAAGTAGGTAGTAAGTAGACTTATAAGTACCCTAAAAGGGACCCTAATTGGGGTTATGGTACTTATAAGTCCCTAAAATAACCGGTTACTAAGACCCCCTAAACCCTATACCCTTATAGAATCCCTATAGATCCCTTTAAACGGGCCCTTAAGGAACCCATGGTGTTACTAGACCCTCCAAGTAGAAGCCCTTAAGACAACACCGGGAGCAACTGCCTCTGGAGCTCCTCCTCTAAGAGCGCCCCGGCGGTGAAGTCTACGGATCCTTGGCATTCCCAGAGAGCCCAATACCCCTTAATTAAGGACTAGACCTTAAATTATAAGGGGATTCGTACTATGATTTAAACTATATTCCTTGGCATTCTATTACTTAGACCCTCAAAAGTAGGTAAAATAATGTCCCAAATCCTATAAAAGGCTATTATTCCACATACTTTAGGGGTCCAGGTACTGATATTGTCATTGTAGTAATTATATATTATACCGTAGGCTATGGTATGTCATATATCATCATCACACAATGTATTCATTACACTATATATTAAACAGTAGAAGGCATTATACTGTCGCTTTGTATTATACTGCATGTTATGTAATAGCATATACTGTACCAGCAGGATTGCAGACCTTTTATTGAAGCTCCGACGTGGCGGCTGACCCTCTGCGACGTGTGCTGGTCACTGAACCGCGAAAGCGACAGCATCTCGTGGATACCAAGAAGCCGTAAACGAGCTCTGGATGCGTGTCGGCATCCTCGCAAGGACAAAATCTTTGACCAGCTGATAGTGTGGGAACTCGCCGCCTCCCCGTAGCCTACCGACCTGGGGTCGGATACGTTGAGTCTATCCGAGTACCAATATCGTAGGTATTCTGGCCCCGAAAGTATATAAACAATTACTTGGACCCTTTGGGAACTCTGCGAAGATGTAAGACTCAGACGGCGTGCTGCCCAGATGGAGCCCAACACCCTCAAATTCCAAACCTGCCACATGTGGCACTTGCCGCCCTGGCGGTCCGCACACTGGCCGTTCCGTTCCATGTCTTCCAGGAACTGCTGGGGAACGTCCAAAGTATGGCCTGGGTTCAACTGCTTCATCTGGCCTCTGATGGCTCAGTTTTGAGGGCCTCACATGGGCAATGCGATGCAACGCGTGTCTGCAAGCCTCAACTTAGGCTGGCACCACACATGTTGCACTGAAACCTGACAGCAGAAGGAATCACACAGTGTTAGCACGACTATGCTGCAGGTCAGCTAGTTCTGGTAGATTTTGCTCCAGTATGCGCGAAAGTGAATAGTTCTCTACCGTCTTGGTGGGCCAGAGCTACTGCGGAATCAGACAAAGCAGTCGGAAACTTTTCAAGCACCAAAGTCTCGACAAATTGAGCCGTGGCCAGCATTACATGGCGTAAGCTTGCATCCCTCTCGAAAGACTTTGAGGGGTCTCACTCTTTAAACTTGAAACTTGAAACCCGACGCCCGACAAGCCACGTTACGGAGACTGTGGGCATGTAGAACACCCTGAAGCTTCTGTCAAGAGGCTTGCCGTTGTCCTTCACACTCCACTTGAAGTGCGGGTTGGCATAGCACCTGTTGCGCTTGGGCAGCCGCACTGCCAGGGCATCAAACTACTTGCGAGCTGGTCTCGGCACTTGGAGGTCTATGGGACTTGGTAAGTACAGCTTTAAGTGCCTTCACTGGGGTTATAAGTAGCTTGACTTCAAGTATAGTAATTGTATTTAGAACCCTGGTTACTAACTCCCATGATCCTCCCAGAAATTGTGGGGATCCTAGTTTAAGCTCACTCAGCAAGGGCAGGAGTCGACGTGGTCTGCATCTGCAACTTGAAGCCCAGCACAAAAGCCATGGGTCCGGAAATATTTGAGGAATTTTTTTTGTTTTATTTGGGGAATTTTTTTTGTTTTTAGCTTTTGCTTGGGAAAGGGGGGGCAGGGAGGAGGGGAGAGGGAAGAGGGAAGAGGGAAGAGGGAAGAGGGAGAGGGAGAGGCAAAGGGAGAGGGAGAGGCAGAGGGAGAGGCGGCGAGGGCGAGGGCGAGGGAGAGGGAGAGGGAAAGAGGAAGAGGGAGAGCGAGAGAAAGGGAGGAAATGGGGGGAAAGGAAAGCAGGGAGGAAGGGAAGAAGAAGGCAAGCAGTAGTCGTAGTAGAAGTAGCAGTAGTAGTAGTAGTAGTAGTAGAAGTAGTAGTAGTAGTAGTAGTAGTAGTAGTAGCAGGAGCAATAGTAGCACTAGTAGTAGTAGTCGTAGTGGTAGTAGTAGTAGTAGTAGTAGTAGTCGTAGTAGTAGTAGTAGTAGTAGTAGTAGTAGTAGTAGTTAGTAGTAGTAGTAGTAGTAGTAGTAGTAGTAGTAGTAGTAGTAGTAGTAGTAGTAGTAGTAGTAGTAGTAGTAGTAGTAGTAGTAGTTAGTAGTAGTAGTTAGTAGTAGTTGTTAGTAGTAGTAGTTAGTAGTAGTAGTAGTAGTAGTAGTAGTAGTAGTAGTAGTAGTAGTAGTAGTAGTAGTGGTAGTGGTGGCAGTAGTAGTAGTAGTAGTAGTAGTAGCAGTAGTAGTAGTAGTAGTAGTAGTAGTAGTAGTAGTAGTAGTAGTAGTATCAGTAGTAGTAGTAGTAGTAGTAGTAGTAGTAGTAGTAGTAGTAGTAGTAGTAGTAGTAGTAGTAGTAGTAGTAGTAGTAGTAGTAGTAGTAGTAGTAGTAGTAGTAGTAGTAGTAGTAGTAGTAGTAGTAGTAGTAGTAGCAGTAGCAGTAGTAGTAGTAGTAGTAGTAGTAGGGTAGCAGCGGTAGTAGTAGTAGTCCTCGTCGTGGTCGTGATAATGGTGGTGGTGCTGCTGCTGGTAGTAGTAGGATTCTGTGCTTCTGATTCATGGCGGGGTCGCGGTGGCCGCCCGCGTCTCGTCGCTGCCACCCACCCCTCCTACCACGGCGCCTCCCCTGCCAGTGGCAGCTCAGCACAAGCGAGATAGAAATGTAGGGTTATACAACGATGCAGCTTTATAGACATCTAGCAGAGATTCAGGTATAGAGGTTGATATTGATATGTGTATGTGTAGATGCAGTTATAGAGATATAATATATAGAAACAGATACGAGTGCAAGAACGAATTACATTCATATGCACACATGCGTAAAAGATTGGTCGTTCTCTGAATGCCGCAACTTTCAGACTCTGCCCTGCCAAAGCTTTGCTCAAGCTTTGCGATGCAGGGAAAAACCAGAAAACATGTTGGTCACAGGCTCCTCAAACCAGACTCGCTTGGAGGTTCATGATAAAGAAAAGGCAGAAAACAAAAAGCAAAGAAAGCAGCAGAAAGCGGAGCGCAAAGCAAAAGCATAAAACAAAAAGCAACAAGCAACAAAAACAAAAACAACAGAAAGCAAAAGCAAAACACACAAAAAACAAAAAGTAAAGAGAGCAGGAAGCAGCAGAAAGCGGAGCGCAAAGCAAACGCAGAAAACAAAAAGCAACAAGCAAAAAACATAAAACAACAGAAAGCAACTGCAAAAAACACAAAAAACAAAAAGTAAAGAGAGCAGGAAGCAGCAGAAAGCGGAGCGCAAAGCAAAAGCAGAAAACAAAAAACAACAAGCAAAAACCAAAAACAACAGAAGGCAGAAGCAAACACGCACAAAAACAAAAAATATTCCCCAAAAAAAACAAAATAAATTCCTCAAATAATTAGGATTCCAAAAGCCATGAATCCCGGGCCTACAGCGTGGACACCGAAGAGGCTCGTCATCGCCGGTCATGGAGATGGGCCTGCATATCCGCAGAGGTTCTGGACGAGAAGTGGCGGTGCTTTAACTTTAACCCACTGAGGCAGAGGCAGCGATGTGAAATCGGCACTGTCTGCAAAAGGGGTCAAGACCTCAGAAGACAGACTTCCATGGACTCATCCCCGAGGCACCCAACCCTAAATCCTAAATCCTCACCCTCACCTTGGGGACGACATGAACCCCTTAAGGGGCTTAAGGCTAATATGCAATATAGGGTTTCATCGTATGAAGGTGTAGGGCCCCCACAAGGATCGATTGGTCCCCCCAGGTATAGGACTCTTAGAACCCCTTGAGTCCAGCGCCGCTGCCAGGGGAAGAGGAATGGAAGCGGCGACTTCGCTGGGCCGCAGCAGGGCTGCGTCTACGGTGGTCCACAGAAACCTCATACAGGCGGCGGAGGGGAGAGGAAGCAGTTTCGGGTTCAGGGTGCTTTTTCTGGCTTTGGGGTTTGGGGTAGGGTTTAGGGTTTACAGGAGGGCATGCTTCGCACTCTGCAGAATCCGCCGGAAAGTCCTAAGCCCTAAACCATGATGATAAGCCCCGCCGTCAGACAAAACTGCAATGGCTGCACGCCGGCAGCCCGATTTAGGGTTTAGGGCTTAGGGCCTCAGAATGAGCAGGCAAAGAAGAAACCACAGCAGCAACACATGACGTGAAAAAAAAACCTCCAATCAGGGTCCGTCCTTCAGGAACGCGCATGTCTTTCAGCTTTCAGCCCCTGATCAGCCCTGATCGAACCGACATCAAAGTCTAAACTACTCAATCCCAAAACGGGTCTCAGTTGAGCCGGGGTGGTGTTTAGGGTTGTCACCTAAGGCTAACAGTTTCAACAGGGCTGGGTGGGTGTATTTACTACAATCAGAGGAGGAAAACATAATCAGGACGATGAATCCCTCCTACACCCCAAACCTCAACCGAAACCCCAAACCCTGCAAACACAAACCCGCGACGAGGCATCTGAGAGGCCGGCTGCCTCGCAGCATTCTTCTCTCGGGCCACATCCCTCTCTGTGGGGCTCGTGCCTGGGGCTGAGGAGGAAAGGACTCCACAGGGCTTTAGCCTTCACCTTGACCTCAGATAACCTAGGACCTAACCGTTTAAGGAGTGATATGAGGAAATCAGAATGGGGAGCCCTAAAGAGGAAGGTTTTAGAGGGTCCAGGTAGAGTTTAGGGCCAGGGTTCAAGGCTAAGAGTTTAGGGCAGAGTGCATGCACCCAGAAAGCTCAGCGGCACGGACGGCCTAAAAGTGTGTGGGGGTCGTGGGTCGGAGGTGAAAGGTTGAAGACGGAGAAAGATGTGGGAATAAATTCAGACTGCATTCAAGATCACGTCACCCTAAACCCTAAACCCTCTTCCTCAGGGTTGCTTATTATTGCAGCTACCCTTTAATGGACCCCGAAACCCTAGTCTGATCCATCTAATTCTTGATGCCTAAACCCTAAACCCCTAAACCCCCAAACCCCTAAACCTCTAAACCCTAAACCCCTAAACCCTAAACCCCTAAACCCTAAACCCCCAAACCCTAAGTCTTGAGGCCCCTACACGAGATCCCCTCCAAGGCCCTTGCTCGGGCTCGTGGGGCTCGTTGGAGCATCGCCTGGGGTCTCCTGCGCAGCTCTATGCAACTTAAGTTTAGGGTTTAGGGTGGGTTTAGGGTTTTGGGTTTAGGGTTAGGGTTTAGGGTTTGGGGCTTTACAAGACCGCTGGGGCACTCATTAATGACTATACTCTCATCTCCTCTACTCGACTGTACCTTACTACACTTTACTATACGACACTATATAGCATCTTTCTGTACTATAGGATGCTAGGCTGTGCTCTACTCCAGTCACCGGTTCACAGCTTCAGAAGGCGCTTCCAGTAACAGTCCAGCTCGCTCACAGTTAACCCTTCCTCATGGATGCCTCTACCCCAAACCGTAAGCCCTATACCCTGTACAAGCGGCAGCAGAAAAACCCTGAACTCCTAAAGCCCTAAACCCACCAAACCCTGGAAGCGGAAATACCCTAAACTCCTTAACCCCCAAACCCTAAACCGCTAAACCCTGTACAAGCTCTGGTACCAAAACAAATGGAACGGTTGATGACATAAATCCTGCATTACCCAGAATAAGGAACATACCATAATTCCCATAGTTTCGGGTCCTTAAGGTAATGCAGGATTTAAATCCCCAAACCCTAAAACCATAATAGATCCCTTAAAGGAGCCCCTTAAAGGTACCCTTATAGCTCCCTTTAAAAGAACCCAGGATTTATATCACCAACAGAAGAACCAGCCTCGTGGATGGACCCATACACAGCCTCCACGGGCTGATCATCACTTCCCAGAGACTCCAAAAGCGCTTAATAAAGGCATAGACCGTAAAAGATTCCTGAAGGCATCTACAAGGGTTCTATCAGGGAATTAAGGAATATACCTGCACACATATTAGGGATCCTACTATGATTCAAGTATGTTGCTTATATAAGGGGTTTTGGAGTCTCTGTGTATTGCAGGTATCGACAGACTCACTTTCGCTCGCCCAGAGGCCCGGAACGCTGAAGGGGGCAAGGAAGTACTACGACCGAGTACTAACACAAAACATGGAGTACTGCTACGCGCGAGTGCTAGCAATACTACTACTGCACTACTATTCATTAAGTAGTACTACGTGCCAGAGTAGCAGACACAAAACCACCTTTCAGAGGAGGGATCATCATCAGCAGCAGCGTCGTCAGCATCATCAGCCTAATCCTCCTCATCCTCATCATCTTCATCGTCACCATCATCACCACGGTCATAGTCAGAATCATGATCATTTTCCTAATCGTCATCATCATCATCATCATCATGGATTGCCTTGTTCCTGTCATAAATGTTTATTAGATGCACGTGCGTGTGCTGTTGCTACTCTTGCTGCTCGTGTTGTGCATTTTGGGTGATTGTCGATGGCGTGGCTCGTTGCTTCAAAGCTCGTTCTTTCTGTGATGGCTGCCACGGCACTCGTTACGCACTGATGCTATAGGTAGCTGCTACGGATGTTGGTAATGAGGAGGACGACGAACAACGACTAGCATTGCTGTTGTCCAGATCTCGTTCTTCTCAGTCCAGGCTAGCAACTGCTGTCTGACTTGGTCGGCTACACTTCCCGAACATGATAAACTTGTCTTGGTTGAAGACGAAAATAATTGCAACACAGCATTATCCGTGGTATCCCTACCGGCCTATGCTACTTAAGAACTACTATAGGCGCCTTAACAGTTACAATAGGGTTTTGGGGCCCATTATACTATAGTTATAATGAGGAACCCCCAAAATAGCAATATCAAATCCGAAAAATAGCCCTTATAGTAGCCTTTATAGACCCCTTTTTAAAGGAACCTCCAAAATAGTATACCCTAAACCCGAAGCCCTGTAGATCTCTTAAACGAACCCTTCTAGTACCCTTTTTGTACACAATGGCCTCTGCGTCGATCCCCACTAGCGGGCGAGGGAGCTTGGCGGGATTCCCTGGTCGGCTAGCGGTTCTACAAGGGTTCCTCAAGGGTTCTATAAGGGTTCCTCAAGGTTTCTATAAGGGTTCCTCAAGGGATCTATAAGGCTTTCTTCAGGGATCTATAAAGGTTCCTTAACAGTTCTATAAAGGGCTCCTTTAAAGGATCTTAAAGGGTTTTAAGTTTGAGGATGTGGGGTCTATAGGGTTTAGGGGTTTGGGCTGCAGCAAGCAACGAAGGCGTGAGGGCAGTCGGAAAACTCCGTAAGGCCAAGCTCCGACTGAAACATCTGCATGACAAATGGCCCAAAAAAACATGCCTTTTGAGGAACTATATTGTGTAGAAGCCATAATAAGGAACCGAAGCATAGGTATAGTAGGTCTTTTCGGCTACAGGTAGCTGGCAAAGTACCCTCTTTTCCGTTTAGGTTGGCCGTACACTGTAGACCTGGTGTCAAACGCCGCGATCTTACCACAACTCTCATGTTGTTGCACTGAGCACTTGCTGGAGACATGAATTCCTGCCTCTATGAGGGGTCTACTTGGAGGTTTATGGGACTGAGTGACGAGGGCTAGAAACAAGGTAGCCGTAGCTAGAATTACATATGACTCCAATTCCAAGACTTATAGCCTTACTCACTAGGTCACGGGGAAGTTTCCGCAAATTAGGGGTACCTTATCTTGGGGGTCCTTATCGCAAGCGTCCTACTATTTAGGGTATTGCATTAGGGTCCCCTATTCTCGGAAACTCCCACGAAGCTCCAAGTAGTCTCAATCAAAGCTTAACCTTCGATCGTGCCTCCATCCAAAGAGCAGTAGCTCTCATGTTCTGCCTGGCAGCATTCCCAGGGACTCCAAAACCCCTTGATTATGGAAGATGCCGCAAAGTTGAATAGGTTACTTCAAGGGTTTGGTAGTCACTGGGTTCAGAATCAGGTTTGCTCCGATGAGTCGGCCCCACATATCATGTAGGCTGAAAAAAACGATGGAGAAGAACTACAAAGGTTCCTGAGTAGCTTGTTATAAACGGTATACCCTATTTCCCAGCGATTGGGTTTTCATAAGGGCACCCGAAAATTAAAAAGGGCAAAAGCGTACGACTCAGGAACCTAGGGAATGATGCCCTGAGGGACCCCTGGAATTTCTGGAACGTCAAAAGAGCTTTCTAGATTCCCACATGTGGCACAGTAGAATTCGACACTGTGGTAATACAGATACACCAAGCCCTAAACCCTAAACCCCAAACCCCTAAACCCACAGTACTCAGTTTGTTGGGTCCTTTGCGCCCTTATGGAATTAGATCCTAATCCCAAAATGGTAGTATACACTAAACCCATAAACCCAAACTCATAGTACCCAAACCTAAACCCCTCATCCCAAACCCAATGTATCTAAACCCTACACCCCGAAGCCCACAAACCTGTTAGTACCCTGATAGATCTTTATAGGAACCCTTAAAAGAACCCTAAACCCCATCAGCGAACTTTGCAGGTCCTGTGGACCCTTAGCACCCCCAGAGACTCCAAAACCCTTTAAATTGAGGAGCATACCTTCAATGATATTCGGGATCATATGCTAATTCAAAAAAATCTGATAGAGCCCTTATAGATCCCTTTTAAAGATCCCTTTAAGGAACCCTTACAGGGTTTATTCCTTAACCTAAGGTCCTTTGGACCCTTTGCCCACCGAGGCATCGACCACCCGCGTTCGCCGTTGGGTGGCCGCCCGGGCGCCGCTGGTGAGCGCGGCACGAGCTGGATAGCCTCCGAAGGCTGGCTCCTAGATTTTAGAATACTTAGGGGTTCCTCAAGGGGTTCCTTAAGGGGCTCCCAGAAGGGTTCTATAAGGTGTCTTTTGGGATTTAGGGTTTAGGGTCTATTTGGAGGATCATGGGACTTAGTAAGTAAGGTTACAAGTACCCGAATTGCAGTTCTAGGTACAGTTACCTTAATTAAAATTATATATAACCCTAGTTACTAAGTCCCATGATCCTCCAAGTAGGTTTTAAAATGGGGTGTAGGAGTAGATTCTACCATATTCCACCACATGTAATCAGGGTTTGGGTTAGATTCTGCTAGATCTGATAGGCTTTTGGGGTAGGTTCTACAATATCTAGCAGGGTTTTGGGGGTTGATTCTACCATATCCAACAAGGTTTCGAGGTAGATTCTACTATGACTAGTAAAGTTCAACTGTACTTGTCTCAAGAACTCGGGACTAGAAGGGGGAACTATTACGAACTCAACTCTAAAGCATGGCTAGCTTGGACCACTACAAGCCTTTGGCTTAATCCTAGAGGGGATTGGCCGCGGAGGTGGAAGAAAGGAGGGTTTAAGGTTTAGGGAGTTTAGGATTTAGGGGTGTAGGGTTTGGGGACTTTAGGGGGTCTAGCAGGTTGGGGCTTAGGGTCTAGGGGTTTAGGGTTTGGGGCTTAGGGCCGCGATCGACCTCAGAAGTGGTGATCGTCTTAAGGCCGGAGAACTAGCCCGAGGCATGCGCTGTTGTCAGGGGGCATGCCATGAAAATGCGAGCACTGTAACAGATATCATCCTTGTGATTCCTAATGGCCCTGAAACTTAAACCCTTTTCGGGTTCATGTCGTCCTTAAACCCACACCCTAAGCCCAATACAAGAGCTCGTAAAGAAACCCCAACAGGAACCCTTTTCGGGTTTCCTCCTTAAAATTATGCAACATACAAACAGACCGCCGAGTTTAAGACCTAAATCCTGCCCGAAAATGCCTGAACCATCCGCACATTGTTGAAGTAATATTACAAGTAAACCTACTTGTCGGGTATCATGCGGAACTAAAGGTTAGCCTGTCTGGTTATGTAGGGATTATACAGGGGCTATACTACCCGAAAAAGTTTCAAGGTTACCCACTTTACTACTAGGAATATCACAAGCAAACAGGGTAATCACAACGAGAAGATTTTATTGAACCTAAACTCGAAACCCTAATCCCTAAACACTACACCCTAATCCCTAAAGTCCCTTCTGGGTCTCATTAGCGAGTAGAGTGCCTCCCGAGGGAGCCATCGCCCCAGGACCCAGATCGATCTTGTCTTGAACCAGAGTTTCGAGCGGACGCTGCATCTAGAACGCAGGCTTTAGGCTTTGGGGGTTTGGCGTTTCGGGGCGTAAGGCTTGGGGGCTTAGAGTTTGGGGTTTAAAGGTTCAGGCTTTAGGGTTTCGGGGTTTAGGGGCTTAGCGGCGCAAAAATCTGGAGGATTATGAGGCCAGGCTTGCGAAGCCCATGTTCCCGTGTACGATAGAGGCCCTGGCAGTCTGTGCGGACCAGTTCTGTTTGGAGGATCATGGGACTGAGTAAGGTCATAAGTACCCTAATTGGAGTAATATGTATAGTTACCTTATTTTAAATTTGTATAACCAAATACGTTCCTGAGTGGCCCCTTAATAATAACCTACTTGCCGGGTATCATGGGGAACTAAAGGTTAACCTTTGTAAAAATTACGTACTCTACTGAGTACTACTAGGATAAGGGTACCCTTTTTCCTGCTATTCGTTTTGATAAAGGGCAAACACAAACAAGTAATCTGCTCCGCAAGAAGAGCTCATGTGGGGGCTTGAACATGTGGAACAGCTGCTGAGGGTATGCTTCCATATAAATATACAGAGACTGCAAAGGGATATGATTGCTAACGACTTACTCCGAGCCCCGTCCTACAAAGATGCTCTTCTGGTCTTTGCTGGCCGTACCGAACAGCGACGAGGCAACCTCCTGAAGCTCAAGCTGTCGAGTCTTTTTTGCTGAGCTAAGAATGCTGTTTCTGGGTCCACAAAATGCTAAGGGCTCCGCTGATTCTCTGATGCCCAATCGGACATCGAGCTATCAAAGGTTTCATAGGCGTGAAGCCCGCTTGCATGTGAACCGATGATATGTCTCACAGCAACCCTCACATTGCAAGGGCCACTGGGCAGATTCGCGGCGGTGTGTCTACAAATCGTAGGTGTGTTGTGTACGGTGCAGACACAGGTGCCTGTCGACGATGTTTCATTCTTAGATGCGAGAGTCTGGAATCGCCTTCCCTCCGTTCACACCTTTCCCGCCCTACACTTCTGCTGAGAGCTGCGCTCTCCAGCAACGTTTCTGTACAATCACGCATCAGGGTTTCGAGGAACCATCAGCTGTTGGCACGAGAATGTAAGACTTCTAGGACGGGGGTCTCTGAGGTTCCTCACGGCCACAGACGGTGATGTGCTGCTTCCGAGCAGTCAGACATCAACGTGCCAGGTGGTGAGGAGGGTGTGCGCGCATCTGTGATGTCTACTGCCAGAGCAGGCTGCGATGCCGGAGGTACGAAGTGCGGCGGCTTCGGAAGGTGGTGCTTGAACACCGTCCACGCATGGCAGCACTCAAGTGGTACTCTTCAAGTCTTGACACCTCGATCCTCAACAGGGTCATACGGAATTGCGTGGCCGGCCTAGCGTGCATGAATTAGCCGAGTGCGCACACTGGGACTATACCCCCCTTAGAACCATAATAAAAATATTGCTTATATTCTCTCGGGTTTTATATGAACAAAGATAAAAAAATAATCCCTAAGGAGACTATAGGGGAAAGGGGAGCCAACTACGTCGATCCTGCCTGCAAGAACCTGCACAGAAAGCGCCTCAGTGGCAAAGATGGGCGCCTGTTGGGTCGCCATCGCTTATTTCTACTCTATTGTAATGTTCTCTACATAATAATTATGTACGCGCTGCCTACATCTGCATACCTTAACACGCACAAACAGACAAATACATTATATATACACACACATAAAAGTATATATTTATATCAACATATACGTATTTATATGCATGTATATATATATATGTGTGTGTATATATATGTGAATATATAGGAATACACACACACACACACATGTAACCACGCCATGCATACTACATTACACGATACATGCTGTAATATAGTACACGATACTATACCACCAAATTCTATGTCGTGCTATCCTATACTTTGCTGTATTTTACTATACTGCTCTACAAGATGCTTTACATACTACATGCCCTATACATTCAACCTCTCTCTCTATCTACCTGTCCTTCCGTCTGTCTATCTACCTATCCATTTAAAGATGTTTATCTACATGTACCTGTATATATATACACACATGCTATATATATATATATATACATACAAAAGATAGTATACATACATACTTACATACATACATGCATACACTACACACTATACAATACACACCCTCTGCAGTTTTCCATATATCTGTACATTTATTTTTTTCTACATAGGCTATATATATATATACACACACACACGAACACACACCATCTATATCGTCTGTGGCATTTGCCGGATAAACTCAGGGCAGTCACAGTACTCTTTAGGTTCGAAACATCTATATGCTGAAATAGGACCCCACTCTCGGGGCACCGTGAATCTTAACTAGGGTTTCATCGGGCTTAGGCTCCTTTCGGATCCTGGGGACAATCAAGAGAGTGTGTCTTTTTTGTCATGCGCACTCGGTGTTGGCCGCACGGTGAACGCACTTCTCACCTACATTTTCTGAGGTGTCGCAAGTTCCTACAAAGGCTCTGTTACGGGTTCCTTGAGATTCTTATTGCTATTGTTCTTGTTGTGACCCGTTATTGTTGTTGTGACTATTATTACTAACAGGGTTCTTATAAGTGCTCCGAGTGCAGGGTCGGGTGGATCTTGTTTCTGACTTTCAAGATCTCTGCATCACAGCGACACCCCCTGACGAAATGGGCACATGGAAGCTGCCTGCAAGAGGGAACGTTCAGCAGAGGGCTTTCAACCACCCAAGCGGGGAAGGGCTCAGAAGCTTAGGATTTAGGGTTTAGGGCTCAGAAGATTCAACCAAATAGAGAAATCGTTTTTTCAAGATCTTGGTGCCAGGAAATGTCCGAAGAGTGCAGCTTCGAAGCGACTTGCACGGAAGACCCGCTGCTGGCTGCCAGGAGTGCAGTTTAGGGTTTAGGGGTTTAGGGCTTAGGAGTTTAGGGTGTTTAGGGTTTAGGGTTGCGCCAAGGCTCTCTGCCCTGAAAGATTCTTAGACCTTTGCCTTTCCCCAATGGGGTGGTTGTCTGTCTGGTGCAGCTCGGTGCCGCCCAGTGGTCTGCAGAGTGGCTGAGCCCCACTGGAACCAAATACCATCCGTCTAGACCCTAAACCCGAACACCCTACACCTGCCCTAAAACCCTAAACCCCAAGGGGCGTCACAAAGAGCATGCCGACAGCTGCATCGTGCGCGCGGCGCAGGCTGCTCTCTGCAAGGGCTGGACCAGCAGAAGTGAGGGCTTTGTCGAGAGGAGAGCACTCCCGAAGTCTATCCACAGGTAGAAGGTTACTCTAAGGGTACTGCATAGGGATGCAAAAATGTCTAGGTTTCTACAGGAATGGTATGAGGATCGTGGAATATCGGGATCTGTCGCAAGGGTCACAGACTCGAGAAGGCTTCTGCTGGTTGGCCCTCACTCGTCGGGCTCTTCTGGGTCGGGCCAGGATTCCCGCAAGACCTTGTGCTTCATCGCCTGAAGGTGGCGACTACTTGGAAGATCATGGGACTTAGTAATTGTGGTTATAAATACGGCAACTATACTTATAACTCCAACTAGGGTACTTATAACCTAACTTACCAAGTCCCACCATCCTCCAAGCATCTTGTAGCAGGGTTGAGGATGCTGAAAAATTGAGACGAAGATGGGGTCTTGCAATAGGGTTTAGGGTTGAGGATGCTTCATCGCCTGAAAATCGCGTAATGGGGTCGATGGCTGGGTGAATGACCAGATCATTGATACAGATTTCCTGTGGGTTCCAGCAGTTTGCTCGATTGTAGCATGGCCCTGTGCCAAAACGAGGGGGCTAGCTGCTCTGCTTGTACTACGAAGGATTTCTTTGCGCCGCACGCGTCTGCTGGAGGCGGTCCTCACAATATGCCTTAACTTATATTTTAATCACAATACTACTACACAGCAAGTATTGTGTTAGACTATTTGGGTGGCTGTCAAAATTATGGTCCCTTTCTGGGGTACCCTGAATGTTAGGTGCCGTATTAAAATTTTACAAGGGACCCTAATTTTGAGAACCACCTATATAATACTAGAACATATCAATATACCGGCCGATCGGGAGCCTAATGCGTGCCTGATTTCCGGGAGTCCAGCATACCTTGAGGAATCCCTCGAACAAGGCAGTGTGGTGGACCTCCACAACGAAACTCCGCGCCATCTCTTCGGCGTCGGGTACATCGAGCCTGGACGAAAGGTGAACATGGACCGTTACTTGGAGGGTCGGGCACTTAGTAACTGGTTATTTTATGGACTTATAAATACCATAACCCCAATAAGGGTCCCTTTTAGGGTACTTGTAAGTCTACTTACTACCTACTTACTAAGTCCCCCGACCCTCCAAGTATTATGTCGGACATGTCATGGTCACGGATGGGCCCGAGCAAGAATATGGCAATCCAGGCTGAGTGCGATGCAAGATGTCCGGCATGTTCCTGTACATGTCGTCCTTGCATGCCCAGCAATGGAGAGGCCACTTCATGCAAAAGCGTGCTAGGCGCACGGCATGGCTACGCCGAGGATGAGCTAGGGATCCACGTCAGTACTGTGCAGAATGTAAAACGTCTCACAATACGAAATGCAGCCAGTGATCTGCACGTTCCTGTACCCGAAGCAGTTCTGACGGTACGAAGTGACTTTTGCTTCAGTTTAATAGTCCTGGTGGCCCCGTACTAAGGTGTAGCACCGTCAAGTATTCTGTGGTTCAGCAATATCCGGAGCGAAGCACCGGCCACACAAACTTCGCTGAACTTGGCTAACATGCTATATTGAACTATAGTGTCGCACAGTATTACTAGGTTCCTGAGTAGCCCCTTTATAATAAGGGTACCTTGTTTCCTAGTATTGAGTTTTAATATGAAGACCCTAAAATGAAAAGGGGGAAAGGGTACTACTTAGGAACCTAGAGTAGCACAAAGCAGCACTGCACAACGTAGGCATCAGGGGCCAATGTGAAGTGCTGCTCAAGCCCAAGGCCCACAACATCAGCATAGCTATGTGTAGCTAGTCTATGTTGAACTCATGGGACCCTTACGAGGGTAGGGGGGAGGGGGTTAGGGGGCCTTAATACCTGTAATAAAGACTTAATAAGGCGTATTGACGGAAGTATAATCCTCTACCCCCTCCCCCCTACCCGCCTAAGGGTCCCTATGATACGTGCAGCTGGTCATGTTGAACATGCTTACAATGTAAGCTAACCCAGTATTGACGAAGGCGTTGCGAAACACCGAACAATAGAGCACTTGGCATATGACACAGTTGAAATACTATAAACATGAACTTTAGTTCAGGACAAATCATGATGTACGATAGATGTCGGAATAACTCCCGATGTCGGAATAACTCCCTATTCCAAGGACATTCCTTCTTGGTTATCCTATACCCCCCTTAGAACCATAATAAAAAGAATACTTTGAATATTCTCCTGGGTTTTATATGAACAAAATAAAGAAATAGTTCCGAAGGAGAGGTTATAAGTAGAGTTATAAGTACTCTAAATGGAGTTGCCCCAATTATACCCCTACGTATAACCTTACTTACTAAGTCCCATGATCCTCCAAGTAGTATCTGCAGAGGCCACACACCCGAGGCCAAGGCGAATCCGTTCTCGATGTCTTTGGTCTCTAACTCCTTGTCTCACAGGGCTGAGGGTTGTTGCGTCACAGGGTTTAGGGTTTAGGGTTGTGTCTCACAGGGTTTAGGGTTTGGGGCTTTTGGTCACAGGGTTCAGGTTTTAGGGTTTTGTCTCACAGGGTTTAGGGTTTAGGGTTTTGTCTCACAGGGTTTAGGGTTTAGGGAGCTCAATTCCGACCTGCATGCGTGTCCAAGAGCTACGGTACGCAGAGGGTGCACCGAGTTTCAGCATGCCGTGGCACGGAACTGTCAAGCCACATGAGAACGTTGCCCAAGTCTCCTCGCTCCGAGCGACATAGAAGCCAGACTGCTTGAAACCCTAAACTCCTGGTTCCGAGCGATGCAGACCTTAAGCCCTTAAACTTAAACCCCTGAACCCGAAACTCCTCGTTCCCAGCGATGTAACCCTGCACCCTCAACCGGTCCTCGTTCCGAGCGATATAGACGAGCAGAGTCAATGCCATCTCGCATTCGCTGCCCGAACGCTCCATGGCAAAGACCATGATCTGGCGAAGGCTGGCAGAGTTTAGAGCTACTCTAAGGGATCTTTCAGGGATCTATACGGGTACTATTTAGAGTTTTAGGGCTTTGGGGTTTAGGGGGTTTAGGGCTTTAGGGCTTTAGGGGTAGGGTTTAGGGCTTAGAGATCAGGGGTTTAGGGTTCGGGGTGCAGGGGCTGAGGCCGAAAGACAAAACCCGAACTGATGGAACTTTGGGTGCCCCAGTCGCCCCTTTCTTGGAGGATCATGGGACTTAGTAAGTAAGGTTATAAGTACCCTATAAGTATAGTTACTTTATTTATAACCCTAGTTACTAAGTCCCATGATCCTTCAAGTAGTAACAAGGGTGCGCTTTTTCCTACTCTTTGGTTGGATACGCGAACCCAAAAAGACAAAAGGCAACAGGGTACTATGGGGAACCTAGTAGACCCTAAACCCCTATATAGATCCCTTGTAGAACCCTTTATGTATCCCTTTAAAGGAACCCCTTACGGAACCCTTTTGAAAAAGGCAAAAGGGCACTACTGGGAAACCGAGACCTTGAAACGACACTGCCACGGCCTTGCGCACCAGCTCAGCACTTTGCGCCGGAGTCTCGGCTATAAGGGGCTCTGTTGAGCGGTATATAGGGCCCCAAAAAAGCACAGAAGCAAAACTTAGGATAGGGATATCCCACATAAACCCCCTTATAATGAAGCCCATAAGGTAGGGATATCCCTATAAAATGCTTCTACTTATGTGCCCCTAAGTATAGGGGCTTAGGGGTTGAGGGTTTACGGTTTAGGGGGCTTACGGGTTGAGGGTTTGGAGAGCTGCCTGCTTCGCCCAAACCAGGGCATTAAAGTAGTACAAGGGCCTCAAGAGTTCGAGCCAAGTCTTGGGCTGAAGGACAGAAGACTTAGAACAATAGGAATCAAAAGGAGTAGCAGCAGTACTAATATATAAGGCCAAAAAGTTTAAAGCTCTCCCGTTCACTATCTACGTTGAGGAGCCCCTTAAGGAAGCCTTGAGGGAGGGAACCCAAAGTCCCATGACAGTGTATTTTCCTTCGTGTCCTCCTCTCGTCACTTACCACAGGATGGAAACAGACGGTTGATGATATAAATCCTGCATTACCCATAACAAGGAATATACCATAAATTCCCATAGTTTAGGGTCCCGAAGAGGGTCCCGAAGGTAATGCAGGATTCATATCATCAACAGGTCAACGGCTCTGGCTCCGTGACTGGCCCTGCAGATTCACAGTTACTTGGAGGAACATGGGACTTAATAACTAGGGTTATGAATAAGGTATCTATACCTATAACTCCAATTAGGGTACCTATAACCTTACTAACTAAGTCCCATGATCCTCCAAGTAGGGTTAGCAGAGCCAGGGCGCTTTGGGTTTAGGGTTTCGGGTTTAGGGTCTCAATATGGGAGTTTCCGAAAATTAGGGGTACCTTATTCTGGTATCCTTATAATAAGGATAATAAGGATCTTACTATTTAGGGTACGATATTGGGGTCCCGTACTTTCGAAAACTCCCATACCTGTCTTCCACTCCAAGCCTCCAGCAACTGGCTACACATGCAAACTCCGAGCCCGGTACCAACGGCGTGATCTCTCGGATGCACCGGCCGAACTGTCCACAGGATGGGGCGCCACAGAACACACATATGTTGCAATGTACCAATATTTTTTTACATGCTGTTCGTTTAAGCTGCCAGCTATAATGTGATGTCGGATCATATAGCATGCCATATCATGTAACTCTGTTCTAAGTTTCTTCTAGTTCTATGATGTCATGTGGTATTGTGCCATGTTCCATCATCTTATGGCATCATCAGCTTCCGCTTCAGCTCCCAGCGACCCTAAAACCCCTTGATTCAGGAATATAGCTTAAATCATAATATGAAGAAGGCTCGTCTAATACTTCCTTACTTCCCTTGTAGAGCCCTTGCAGATCCCTTAACGAACTCTTTAAAGGTACCTACTCGGAGGGTCGGGGTACTTAGTAAGTAGGTAGTAAGTAGACTTATAAAGTACCCTAAAAGGGACTCTAATTGGGGTTCTGATACTTAAAAGTCCTTAAAATAACCAGTTACTAAGTCCCCCGACCCTTCAAGTAATGAGGGGGCATCGGTATTGGGCTCTCTGGGGCTAGCTCCTCTGCACCCGCCCATCGAGCCTCGGCCGTGTCTCCAGAGTTAAAGTATTCCAGGATCATCGCCTTGATCTCATTCCTCGGACGGTTTGGTGGTTTTGGGTTAGGAATTTAGGGTTGAGGAGTTAAGGGTTCATATCATCGCATTGATCTCATTCCTCGGCCTGTTTAGGGGTGCAGGTTCTAGTTGTTGTATTTTGAGTGCCTTTATTTTCTGTCCACCCGAAGTGTCAAGCATCTGAGTCCAGGGTTTTGGGGTTTAGGGGTTTAGGGTTCAAGGTTTGGGATCGAGGGTTCAGGGAGTTCAGGGCTTAGGGTTCATGAAAGGATGGGACCCGATCGGGGCGACGGCGAAGCTGCAAAGATCTGCACAACATGGGGGTTTCCGAAAATTAGGGGTACCTTGTTTTGGGGCCTTGTAAGAAGGATCCTACTATTCAGGGTGCTATAGTAGGGTCCCCTATTTTGGGAAACTCACACATGAAGCTCGGAGGCGGGCTTGAAGGCGGCCGTACTCAAGTGCTTCTTGCTATACCTGCGAAGATGCTGCTCTTACTTGGAGGATCATGGGACTTAGTAAGTAAGGTTATAAGTACCCTAACTGGAGTTATAAGTATAGTTACCTTTTTTGTAACCCTAGTTACTAAGTCCCCTAATCCTCTAAGTAAGCCTTGCGCAGGCTGCTAAACGACACGCAGAGCCGCGGAGAGTGTTTGTATACATGATTGCTGAAACAAGCTGAGTTGTGTGAGCTATGAAAGATTGGGGGCCAAGCATGCTCTGGTCACTGGTCGCAGACTGTGTCTAAAACGAAAGCCTCCTGCCTGACTTTCATTGACTTTCAACTGCATGGCAACTGCTGTCCATCCTTTCAATCCCAAAACCCAATACTGTATCGAAGCCTTATAGAACCGTCAACAAGAACCCTCATAAGAACGCCTGACGGAACGCTATAGTACTCCGAAAGTATACCCTCATAGGAACTCTTCCAGGAACCCTCTAGTACCCTTCTGAACCTTTGAAAGAACCCTATACAGTACCCTTAAAGTAAAGTATACCCCAACAGGAGCCCTTCAAAGAACCATGTACCCTCATGGTATAGCCTTCTAAGAACCCTTCAACAAGCCCTGAGGTACACTTACATAAAGTATACCCCTTTGGGAACCCCTACAGAAACCCGAGAGTACCCTTTAAGTATACCCCCTGAAGGAACCCTTAAAGGAACCCTGTAGTACCTTACTTAGTTGCTGAGTTCAGAAGCCTCCAAAAAGTGTACACTTTTAGTTGTAAAATTTATAGTGGGTAACACTATCCCCAAAAGTGTAAAGTGTATCCACTCAGCTACTAAGCTTAAAAGCCCTCCAAGTAAAATTCCCTTTAAGTATACCCCCTGAAAGAACCCTTAAAGGAACCCTACAGTACCTTAAAAGCCTAAAGGGAACTCCAGAAAGTTGGAATATGGTTCCAGCGTAGGATACCCTATAATTTACCATAAAGGGTTTAGGATAATCATATTCCAACTTTCTGGCTTTTACCTTACCCCCCCCCAAGGTGACTGCCAAGCGCCCCAGGCCCCTGGGGCACTCGGGAGTCTTGCGCTGGACGGCCTTGGTCAGGCGCTACGGACGTCACGGTCTAAAGGGAACTCCAGAAAGTTGGAATATGGATTACTGGTGGGATCCCCTATAATTTACCTTAAAGGGGTTACGATAATGATATTCCAACTTTCTGGCTTCTACTGTAAAGAATTACCAGTAGTTATATAATATAGCTACTAACAACAAGAATAGTTATAAAACTATACAATATAGCAATGTAAGAGCAAGAATCATAATAACAATACTACTGTCCTGATTATAACTCGCCTCGGCCCCGGCCGAAGTGGTCAGAGGTTCCTCTAGAGATTCCCTTAATTCCCCACCTCTTCATCCCCTGTCTACCCCGCAACCTGGTCACCTGAACCCCCGTCCTCTGTGTGAACTTCTGGATGAGCCCAAGGTCCCACGGTTAAATTTCGTTTCCTCCAATGGATTTGGGCTCGCTGTAGGCAGTTGCACTGACCTTTTCCTCTCCGCCTTCCCCCCTTCCCTTCCCTTCCTCCCTGCTAGACAACCGCGCGTTTATGCAGAAGACTTGCGCAGAGGTCATCCGCTGCGCACTGACACGGCAAGGTTTCTGCGCCTGAAGGTTCTCGCTTCGCGAAATTTTTTCGGGAAGGCAACTTTCGCGTTAGACAACCAGCTCCAGCCAGTTGGGCTGCGCTTTCTCCCTATACGCTGCGCATGTAGGGTTTTAAGTTTAAGGTTTCATTTCAGCTTGGGGTTTGGGTGTTGGAGTTTCGTGTTTAAGGCCTATGGGCCTTGGTAGGCTTTCGGGTTGCTGCTTTTCGAAACAATGCACCTGCTTCAAGCACAGCCGGGCCGAGGCGGACGACGCGAAGCCTTTAAGTTATAGTATAATGGGCCCCTAAACCCTATTCAAATTCTTAAGGCCCCCACTGGGATACCCAGTGACCTAAGAATAAAAAGGCCTCTCTTTAAGGGTACTACTGGACCTCTAAGCCTAAAATGAGCAGCAGCTCAGGGTTTAGGGCCTTTAGGGTCTTTGGGGTTTCAGGGCCTTCGGAGTTTGCGGGTTTAGGGTTTAGGGCCTTTGGGGTTTAGGGCTTAGGGTTTAGGGCCTTTGGGGGGTTTAGGGCCTTTGGGGTTTAGGGCTTAGGGTTTAGGGCCTTTGGGGTTTAGGGCTTAGGGTTTAGGGCCTTTGGGGTTTAGGGCTTAGGGTTTAGGGCCTTTGGGGTTAGCGGCGTGAGACTCTTGTCAAGAAAGACATCTCTAGCGGAAACACAAGCTCCAGTATCCCCCCCCCCCCCCCCCCGAAACATCCCTAAACACTAAACAGCCGAGTATGAGGAGTCCCGATAAGTTTTCTTATACTCTCTCTCTGGAGATGATTTGCTGATATGAGAATCTGCAAGCTGCGGGGCTCGAGCGAACTTTGGGACAAATTCACGGTTTAGGGTTTGGGAACTGCCAGTTTTTGGTTACCTTCGACTCTAGGACCCTGAATCGAAACTGGGCCAGAAAAAGGAACTACAATGGAGACCATGGGCACCCACTGAACCCCAAACCCTAAAGCAACCCGCCGAGTCAGCTGAGCCGCATCAAGGACCTTCAGTCCGGCGGTGTCTCCAAGTCGCAAGAGGCCTCAGAAAGGCTCAAAACTGAGTTCCTTTAAAGGAACCCTAAAGGTTCCTGTAAGGGATCTATAGGGATCTATAACTTTGTAGGGTTAGGGTTAGGGCTTATAGGGTTCAGGCTTTTTGGTGGTTTAGGGCTTAGGGTTCAGTGCACTGGGTTTGGGGCTTAGGGTTTTTGGGATCACACGTGCTTCAGGGTTTAGGGGACTTCACATCCACACTTGCAGCGACATGTCTCGGCTCAGGCCAGTGCGGCAGCGTCGCAAGAAGGGTACGCTCACCAGCTCATCCACCAGGAGCCTCCAAGCTAGGACCACGTCAAAAAAGGCACCGGTTAGGTTTAGGGTTTAGGGTTGAATGAAAACCATTAACATTCTTCTCATTCTTACTTTTACTAGCATTCGCACTAACTAACTCTCCCAAACCCTACACCCTAACCAAAAGATGCTAAGCCAACTGACAAGACCGGTCGTCAAACCCTGTAAGCCCTGAAGCAACTCAAAGAGGACCCTGAACCCTGTAAGCCATCAGGCAGCTCGCGGCGCCGCCTCATAATCTTTGTAAGCCCTCAAGCAAATCACAGGACCAGCCCCTGAAACCCCGATTATAAACTACCAGTTGAGAAGATTATCAGTATCGACAGCACTATGGCCTGTTAGTATTGGCATTATTCGACTTGCTGGCACCTGATGATGACTTCCGTCAGCATTTCGATGCATCTCGGGTAGTCCAAACTCAGGTCGTCCACTTGACCTCAACGCTACTTGGAGGATCATGGGACTTAGTAACTAGGGTTATAAATATGGCAACTATACTTATAACTCCAATTAGGGTACTTATAACCTTACTCACTAAGTCCCACGATCCTCCAAGTAGGTGGAACCTTCAGGAAGCCTTTTGGTCAATAAAAATAAAGGTTTGCAGTTCAGGGCCTGGCTTTTAGGGGCTAGGATGAGCCCTTCTTAACGGAAGCCTTAAAGGGGGCTTGTGTCTCTTAAGGCCCTGTTGTTGTATTTCCAGAGAGTCATGCGATACCCCTTCATGAAGGAATTTACTTTAAATTATGCAGGGCTCCATATTATGGCTTGAGCTATCCTCCGTAATTAAGAGGTATTGGACTCTCTCGGTTACTGTTGATGATTTTATACTTCTTCCCTACTTGTCAGGTATCATGGGGAACTAAAGGTTAACATCTTTGGAAAAAATTATATGACTACACTACCCCAAAAAAGGTTAAAGGTTCCCTGCTCTACTACTAGGACAAGGGTACCCTTTTTCCTGCTATTGGCTTTGCTAAGGGAACCCGAAAATGAAAAGGGCAAAAGGGTACTACTGAGGAACCTTTACTTATGGGTAATGCAGAATTTATACTCTTGATGGTATAAATCCAACATTACCTTAAGGACCCTAGACTATGGGAATTATGGTATAGTCCTTACTTATGGGTAATGCAGGATTTATACCATCAACCGTATCACCAACCGAAATATCGGACCAGATGCATCAAGAGCAGGCTCTGGGGCCCAGGAAGCCTCGCTCCTCGGGGGGTTTCTGAGGGCTTCTAGACCCTAAACTGGGCTTTTAAGGGTTTAGGGTTTAGGGACCATAAACAGTATAATCACAACCCCCAAAAAACCGGTTCTAATTATTAAGGCCCTTATATAAAAGAAGCCTGCAAAAATGAGTCCGTAGGGCTCCTTCTTACCAGGACCCTCCTTGTACCATCAAAAAGGGGTATATGGTCCCACATAAGGGGCATCTAGGGTCTAATCGAGGGTAGATGGAGGGTCCAGGTAGGCTTTTTTGAGGGCTCTTATCCGTCTGCATGTGGGTACGACATATACCTACTCATATCATCATCTATAGCTAGATATCTTTGTCTGTATCTCTCTCTCTCTCTATCTATATATCTAGATACACACAGGTTTCATGGGGGCTTGCAGTCCAGCCCTGATATCATGTTATTGCCTTCGTATATAGTGAGGTATTCCGAGGTGTGGACTCAGCATTCGTGTGGTCCCCCACCTCAGCTGAGCTTCAGAGATCAAATTCCAGACTTTCGACTGCGGGCTTTTCAAGGCGAAAGGTCGAATTGAGCCCATACGGCTTAGGGCCTAGGGTTTTGGGGCTGAGGGTTTTGGGGTTCATTACGGTTTAGGGTTTCAGCGCAGACATGCAGCAACCCTTGCAAAACGACCTCTTCCCTGCACGGGTCCACGCTGCCAGCCGACGACATCTCTGTCAACTCAGGGCAAGGTCTAAGATCAGCGCTGGATGTCGTCCTGCCCGTTGGAGCTATGAGGATGCACAACAAGCCAACAACCAACTCAACAACATCTCTCCGTACCGAAGTGGCTGCGAGAGCTGCCGCCGATTCTGCACGGGGCAGGGTGAGCGCTGCATCTGCAGGAGGCAAACCCCAGAGCTGTGCAAGAAGACCTCAAAGGCGTAGACTTCTTAGCGCCCTAAACCCTAAACCGCCAGTCCTTCGAGAGAACCCCATCTGTGCAGAGCCAATTGAGAAGCTGCAAGACCGCCTGGCATGGGCCGTGGAAGGACACTGCTTTGCGTCAATATGGGAGTTTCCGAAAATGGGGGACCCCAATATAGTACCCTAAATAGTAGGATCCTTATTACCTTAAGGACCCTAAACTATGGGAATTACGGTATATTCCTTATTATGGGTCATGCAGGATTTCTATCATCAACCGAAGGACACTGCTTTGCGTCAATATAAGTCTTACTAGAATCGTTCCTTCAAAGACTCCTCTAAGGCCATGGGTCCAAAGGACCCAATAATTAGGTACTCGGTTTTAGGATAGTAGTTATGTAGGTTAGGATTTTGGAGAGTATATGATTATTGGGTACTTGGACCCTTGGGGTAAGGCCTACTGCAAGGATTACTGTCAGGGTTCATATTATAGGCTGTTGGAAACATCGACGACGGCTCATGGCTGCGCACCCTGCAAGGAATTGCAAAGACCGCTTCAAGCAAAAAGGCCACGGTTTAGGGTTTAGGGGTTTAGGGCATTTTCTTCTCATGATTACTGTTGCTCTGTTACTGTACGGTTGCAACTACGTGCGCTCTGCAAACCGCAACATACTGCTGGACACCGGCCTCCCTTCCAGCACTCTCGCTCGTCTGCGAGAAGGACATGGTAATTGCCTCCCGGTGAAAAGGGCGTGGCTCTAGGCCGGTGTGGTCGGCTTTCAGGGCTCTTCGATCGGCCTTGACACAAGTGGGAGTTTCAGAAAATTCGGGGTACCTTATTTTGGGGTCCTTATAATAAGGATCCTACTATTTAGGGTACTATATTAGGGTCCCCTATTTTCGGACACTCCCAAGTGTTATCTTGAGACGATGCTGAAGCAGGCTCAAGCCAAAGAAGCCGCCTTGACATGAATCTCGATAGTAACGCAGCAGCCAACTTGGCCCTAAAACATTGCCAGAACACGAGACTAATAAGAACAAGAATATTAATAACAACAACTTGATAGATAGTAGGAACACTAATTAGCAGTAGTAGCAATCTTTGGGAGGGGGGACTCTGACCATGACTATTACTTACTACTATCACTGTTTATACTATTACTGTTACTATTACGTAATACAAGGACCAGCTCCAGTCGAAGCCTCTTTTGAGCCGCTTTGGCACAGGCCGTCGCGAGCTTCTACTGGATCCAAGTGGGTGGTTGTCAAAATTAGGGTCCCTTTTTGGGTTCTTATTATAATACGGCACCAAATATTTAGGGTACCCCAAAAAGGGACCCTAATTTAGACAACCACCCAAGTATCTTCGAGATCGGGAAGCAAACAGAAAAGGCTCTGCGGTCATCCGGCTAAGTGCATAGCCTGATCCTTTCTCTTGCAGCTTCTGTTGACGGTCCTTGTAGTGTGCAGGTGCGCGACGGTGGACGGAGACGGACTCGAAAGCATCAAAGCCCACAGGGTCCAAGTATCATTATGGTATACTAGAGACTTTCCTGCAGTCCTCGCTCTCTTGGAGAGGACTGGGGTCGTGAATGCAACACAAAGCGTCCGCAGGGATCTGTCGCTGCAACAGCTCCGGTTGTGAACCGAACTGGATCTAAAGGACCCAGTGATCCCAAACGATCCGACACATGACCCGAGAAGAGTCCCCGGGAGCCTTCTTGACGAACTCGTGGTGGTAAGGAGCCATTGACAGCTCTTTGAGAACGGTTCCCACCTTCAATAGCTGAGGACGTGTCCCTCAAGCAAGTGACTCATGAACCCTAAGCCCTAAACCCTGCACAGTTGCCGGGAGCCGATGAGACATGACTATTTGTTGCATTCACAAATCCCATGCAAAAACCGCTGCACCGCCTGCTGTTAGAACTCACTCTACATGGCATCTACATGATCGAGAGTGTGTGCCGACTCACGAGCGCCTCTTCTGCGTTCATGGTCACGAAGTATTCCTGCGCAGCACCGGGCAAAAGGAGACAGTGGAGGCACGTCTGGTTCCTGTATCATTAGGGCCCTGCCTCGTCACACCTAGATGCAGCTCGCTGGTTGAGACATGTTCGGCGAAGCCTGCTCTCTCCAGTTCCTACTGTGAGGCCCATGTGGACACGATCACTGTTTATGTCTGTGGCACTCACGCTCAGTGACACAGGGCTGAGGGCTCAGAGGGCAGCGGTCCTCGATGCACCGCCCAGCTGCGTGTTTGAAGGATTTCAGCTCCTCCCGTGGAGCTAGGAGTCCACTTGGAGGATCATGGGACTTAGTAACTAGGGTTATAAGTACCCTTATTGGACTTCTAAGTATAGTTACCTTATTTATAACCCCAATTACTAAGTCCCATGATCCTCCAAGCAGGCGGAGGCTTTTCATCCCAACCCCCTACACCTGCTTTGGCTGTGGGTAGAGCGCCTGCACCGTCTTCTCCAGCATCTCATGGAACTCTGGTGAGACCGGAACCTGCACTGCACATAACTAAGAATAATTACAGAATACATAATTTGTGTGATATAAAGGACACATATATATATATATATATACACACACACGTGTGTCTTCTAATTGGTCATACATAGCAATATTTCATATAAAAATGCATGATATATATATATATATATGTATATACATATATACATACATATATATATATATATATATAGAAACATAAATAACAACATATTATAGTCTTTCTTTAAAGAGTGGGACCAGGGAGGGAGCCAGGAAGCAAGTTCCCGGATGTTTGGATTCTCTTGAGGTCGGCGAGGAGGTGCCGTCTTCGGAAGGGCACTTCTTCTTTAGGGCAGGGCCTAGGGTTTAGGGTTTAGGGTTAGGGTTTAGGGTTTAGGGTTAGGGTTTAGGGTTTAGGCTTTGGGTTTGTTTTTACGGTCTGTGGCCTCTCGCTCGGTTTAGGGTCTAGCTCTGTCGTCGAGTGTTAGTACGTACATGATCTATGGAAACGGAGCATGCGCGAAGCATTCTGGAGCCAAGTCATGCAACATCATAGGGACCCTTAGGGGGAGTAGGGCCTTAGTAGCCCTAATACAGCCCGCCTAAGGGTCCCTACTGTTGATGATAATATAAACCCTGAATTACCTAAAGGACCCTAAACTATGGGAATTACGGTAGATCCCTGGTTATGGGTCATGCAGGATTTATATCATCAACCGTATGACAACAGCAGCCTGAACTTCGCTCTTTCGTCCTACGCGTGGTCGTGCAGCTCCCATCGGCCACAAGGTTGAGACGCAAACGGGTCTGTAAAATGTCTGTATACGGTTTAGGGTTTAGGGTGTAGCAACACAGCAGCACTAGCTGCTGATGATAGTAATAGTAGTAGTTATAGTTATAGTAACAAATCATAGGTATAGTAATAGTACTAGTAATAGGAATAAGAAGAAGTATAAGATCGTGCGGATCGAAAGGAGTGTCTTCCTGCAGCCTTTGCATCTCTGCCAAGTGGACCCAGATATTGCATCCAACGGGATTTCCCGTTGCCTCACCGCTCGGAATAAAGACTGCGATGTGACCACGCGAACTTGTAGTACCCATAAAGTAACCCTGATAATACATCCCAAGAGGTCGGACCTGAGTTCGTAGTCACCTTTCGCCGAGCCCAACCCTGAGGTGCCCTTTCTCTACCCCGGTGGGCACCTCAGGGCAAGCCTTGATCAAGTTTGCAATCGCAGCAGATCTTACATCGTGGCACTACGAAGCCTGAAACCACTCATCCAGAGATGGGTGACAGCCAGGACGTCCTTCATACGTTACGATGCACCATTGGTTTCGTGGTTCATGCCTCAGCCACCGAATTAGCTTGCACCGAATTGCTCTGTTGCGGTGCAGGTTTCTTTGAGGAGCTGAGATGTTATGAACGTGTGTATTACACAGCCGACCGCACCGAACAGTATCCTAACAAGTGTTGGGCCTCTCCTACATGACTCGCCTCAGCGGCATTCTTCACTGAAGTCGGAATACAAGCGCATCGAACTCAACGGCTGCTTCACACCATATCCCTCAACCCTAAACCCCTGAACAGTCCCGGAAAACTAAAGTCAGCAAAGCCTTTCCTGTGGGTAGTTCTCTAAATTAGGTCTCCTTTTTGGGTACCCTAAATAGTGTATTAGGGACCCAAAAAGGGACCATATTTTCGACAACCACCCATGTCCAACAATAGAGAAAAAGCAGCCTACTTCCACCAGCTCAGCCCTAAACCCCTACAGAACCCCTAAACCCTAAACCCACACATAATCCCTAAACCCCCTAAACCCTACCTAAACCCAGAGAAAAGAAGGCAGCCTACCTTTTTTAGGGTTCCATAACGGTTCTATATCCTTCTCAGCTAAGTACCCCTTAGAAGAAGCAGCTTACAGTAGAAGCCAGAAAGTTGGAATATCATTATCGTAACCCCTTTAAGGTAAATTATAGGGGATCCTACCATTAATCCATATTCCAACTTTCTGGAGTTCCCTTTATAGGGATCCCTAAACCCTAAACCCCATATAGATCCCTTTAAGGAACCCCTATAGATCCCTTTAATGGAACCCTAAAACCCCCAAACCCCATATTCCAACTTTCTGGAGTTCAAAGGACTAGGGAGGATTAGGGATCACTTGGCTATATACCCCCCTTGGACCCCCCTCCCTTAAGGATACTACAAGAAGAAGCAGCCTACTTCCACCAGCTCAGCCCTTCTGCCATGGCTAGTGGCATCCCACCAGCCTGCCGCCCGCACGGCCTTGGATAGAAGAAGGGATAGGGCTGAGGGTTTTTGGGGGTTTAGGGTTTATAGGGTTTAGGGTTTTAGGGTTTAGGGTTTATAGGGTTTAGGGTTTTAGGGTTTAGGGTTTAGGGGTTTAGGGTTTCGGGGTTTAGGGGTTTAGGGTTATTGGGGTCTTTAGTCCTTTGGAAGAAGGGATTAGGATTCGGATCTTTAGTACTTAGTCCTTTGGAAAAAGGATTAGGGTCTCGGTCTTGTTTTTTGCTGAGGATCTTCTTGGGTTTAGGGTTGAGGGGTTGGGGTGTCTTTGGGGTTTGGGCTGGATTTGGGGTAGGACACGACCACCCTGACTTGAACCAGCATCGGGTTTTGAGAATTTCAAGGAGGCCGCATCAAGTGCACAGGCTGCTCGAAAAACGCAGAGGGACCTCCCCTGCTCAAAAAGCGGAAAGCTCTCTTCTTCAACAACCGGGCCCCAAAAAGGTCAAACTTTCTAAGATAGAGCTAATATGTAAGGCCAAAAGATTAAAGTTCTCTCGTTCACTATCCAAGAAAGAAGGCAATGAACGCAGACTTGTCTGGAAGCCTACGCGATGTAACAGTGTTATGGCGACAAGATGTCCCAGGAGCAGCAACTTTCCGTGGAAGTGCCCATCTGCGAAAGCTCCTTGCTGGTAGCACCTCAACTATCCCAAGACCCTGGCATTCTAGGATTCAGGGTTTCGGGGAGGCATTGCAAACTAGGTTGCATCGGTCTCACTGCACGATGCACCAGGTCACCACATTCTTGCGACTTCTGCAAAACTTGCAAAACCCCGCTGCATGGCACCTCGGCGTGTCCGCCAAGTAAAGGTCTTCAGGTCGAGTGCGCAGCAGTGCCAGGCAGTCCTTTGGAAAGTGCGGTTTAGGGTTCGGTTTCTTTTTTTTTTGAGGGCCCTTTTCCTCCCTGCTACAGAAGGAATACCTAGTAGGTTCGGTTTAGGGGTTTAGGATTTAGGGCATGCTGCGCACGCTGAGACTAACCTGGGTGGTAGAGCCCGTGGCTGCTCGTGTAAATCATGAACTTGATTCATGACGAACTGTCCCTAGACCCTCCATCTACCCTCTATTAGACCCTAAATGCCCCTTATTTGGGACCATATACCCCTATTTGAGGGTACAAGGAGGGTCCTGGTCGTATTGTCCGTTCTGAGGCTTCTGATCGCATAAGCGTGCAGTATGACATAGCGCGGCACTCATCTACATCAGCATGACTACTTGGAGGATGATGGGACTTAGTAATTAGGGTTATAAATAAGGTAACTATGCTTATAGTTCCAATTAGGGTACTTACAACCTTACTTACTAAGTCCCATGATCCTCCAAGTAGGCATGCCCTGTGGGCTTGATATGGCGAGCGTTGGCACGCTAGCCAGCCCAAGACTGGCCAAGCTTCGCATGACTAGTCCCAGTGGAGAAGCCAGTGGCAACAGCTGAAGGTATTACCGGGACCCCAAAACTATGTAGAATAATGGCCTTTTATAGGATTTGAGCCATTATTTTACCTACTTTCGGGGGTCTAGGTAAGAGTTCAAGCATTCACGCATCGCTAGGAACAGACCGATATGCAGGCATCGGGACCCGCGGTTCACATCAGGCCGGGGCTAACATCAGACCAAGCACTTCTTCTGCCTCTGTACAAGCTCGTAGGAAAATGCTATAGTTGGTTGTAAGAGTGATTAAGATCGGGCCTTGAATGATGCATCTTCCCAGGTTCTGAATCATACTTGCCTCTACCCGGGACAAAACCTGTCAGCTACTGTAGGGGCTTCAACAATTAGAACAGAGTTATCGTACAGTTACAGTATACCCCCCAAACCCTGATCTTTAATCAATGTGGCCCTTACAGTATTTCATGGATCTCTTGCTGTCAAGTTTCCGGCACCGCCTCTGCCTGTTCCCAGGGACAGTTCGCCTGTCCAGATCGGGAGCAAATTGCCCAGAGACTCCAAAACCCCTTTGTTGGGTAGTTGTCAAAAAAGGGGTCCCTTTTTGGGTACCCGAAATAATGGGTGCCGTATAATAGGGACCCAAAAAGGAACCATAAGTGTGACAACCACTCAATTTAAGGTATATTCTTCAATTACAGGGTTTTGGCGGCTCTGGGTACCTCTAAACCTTCGCGGCCTTTTGCCCGCAGGCCTCTGGGATGGTACTGTAGAGGTCCATCATGGCACTCAGAGCCTTAGTGAAGCCGCACTGCCGAGGTACGCGATCCGTCTTCGCAGCAGTTTGCAGCAGCTTCAACAACTGCTTGGAGGATCATGGGACTTAGTAACTAGGGTTATAAACAAGGTAACTAATAACTCCAACTAGGGTACTTATAACCTTACTTACTAAGTCCCATGATCCTCCAACTGAGCTCCGCTGGATCTTGGTGGTGTTCAACAATTGCTTGTTGGGGCCGTTGGGGGCCTGCTTCTTTCTGGCTGCACCCGGAGAAAGCTGTTAGTGGTGCAGAATTGCCTGCGAAGCCATACGAACTACGTTCATCCTGGGTTAAATGCTACACTCTAAACCTACACCCTCATCCACGGTTCGATCATCTATTCACCGCTTGGAGGATCAAGGGACTCAGTAAGTAAGACTTTAATGAGAATTACAAGTAGTTGCAAGTATAGTTACCTTATTTATACCTTATAACCCTAGTTGTGATTTTGTGATAGGTCCCATGATTCTCACTAAATAGGCCCGCAAGCCTAAG